TCGCGCTGTGGATCGCTGGATCGGCTTTCACGTGGACGAAGCGGAGTCCAGCCCGAGGTCGTCACATGTGGTTGCCGCAAGCCCGCCGGCCGCACCGTTCTTAAGCCTGCCGGCCATTCCTCACTCAAGACCGCCATCGCTCACTCTAGGCCGCCGTGTGTGATGCTGTGCGTTTCGTTGTGAAAGCGAAACTACTTTGTTTGGTCTTCCAAAAGAGGACACGATTACAAATCAGTGGTTAAGTTGTATTTACAACACCGTTCCAGAACAGTTCAACCCAAATATTCAGATGTGTGCAACGCATTTTATGGAGGACTGTTTCCTGATCCTGGTAGAGTAGACTACAATGCCGGCTGTTCTGACTCACAGACTGTAAGTAAGTTTTTTATATTTAAAGGATTTGCAACTGATGATTCAAATGCGAGTTTTGAGCAGTGTAGAGTAGCGCTTGTTTTTTGTCATTTCTCCAATCACAAATGCAGACATGGTTTTATGTTTACGCGGCGCGATGCAACGCAACGCGTAAAAAGACAGTATAAGTCATTATAATCCGTAATTATGTCCCCACTGGATGCAACAAATGCCTCGTTTATATTGGATTTGAATGTTTTTGTCTCGTCACTCCGGCCGGACAGGGCATCACAATATGGTAAGGGGCGTAACATTTCCGTCACACGCTTGAGTTTCGGCCAATCACAACGCACTGGATAGCTGGCCAATCACAGCACACCTCGCTTTTCAGAGCGATGAGCTTTGTAAAAATCGACACGTTTCAGAAAGGCGGGGCATAGAGGAGAAACAATAATGTACAGTATGTGGAAAATAATGTGGTTTTTTTACCTTAAAACGCATAAACACATTTCATTACACCAAATACACAAAATAATGTTCTTTTTAGCAACATATGATCCCTTTAATAGGACCATTTAACATTTACAAAAACTTTCGCATCCCTATTTTTACATTTAGATTACCTCATTCAACAACACTACATTACAAATTAATATTTAAAAGCACTAACAATCTAATGAAAATGTTCAAAGTAATATTTAGCAAAACTCAAAATATAAATTTTATTCTGTACATTATAATGCCTGAATTTACTTGGAGAATTTAAAACAATTAGTTTTAGTTTAAGCATTTTATCCTTAATTTATGTAGACAATTTTTTAAATCTACTATTTATAAGTTAGCATTCACAACATGAAATCAAATGTTGGTGCATCCCTGGATTTGACCAAAATGAAAATTCAACTCAAACTTAAACTACAGACCATCTTGAGCAAACTAAATGGGGACACATTCACTAAAAATAAAATAAATCCTCTATAAGAGCGCACAGATTAATATCCCATTTAAAGTGAAATCCATGTGCGTCTGAGGCTCTGATCTGACAAAATTACACAAAGCAAAGCAGCAATAAAAGTTGAGAGCCAGTTACATTCAGTTCAGATTAATCCATAGAGAGACAGACAAACTTTTCTATTTCATTCTCCACACCAGCTTTGCTCAGCATGCCTGGCTGGGTGGCTGAATTATTCTGTGTGATCTCCAGAGAAGCGCAGGACCAGGGGCAGCGTGAGGACCAGTAGCCCACGTAATGTGCTCCTGACGCAGATGCAGCCGCGGCGAGGACCCCTGGGTAGAGGACAACTGATGTGGAAATGACTTTAAATGTTTTGGACGAAGTCCACAAAAGGCAGCAGATCATCAGAAAGAGAGAGAGAAAGAAAAAGAAAGAGAAAGAAAAGAATAAAAAAAGAATGATGAAACAATAGAGCAGAAGCAAGATCAATCAATGTTTGAACCACAGGAAGTGAATCATTCATTTTATCTTGAAATGTACACATTTACTTCACATTGTTTCATCTTTCCTCTTATTCCTGCTTTCTAATCCAGGACTTGTGAACATAACCTATTTGTAGTCAGTCACATTCTGCCCTCTAGTGGCTGGAGGAGGAAATGAGCAAGAAATAGTTCATTTCTACTCCAATATGAAAATTTGAGGACTCTTCAACACTTTCCATACAGGAACAGTTCACAGAGTAAATGATGACAGAATTTTGGAATACTCCTCGTACAACTCTGCTTTTCCATTATCCATTTTTCCATTATGCACCTTATAAGAAACTTCACAGATAAATTCAGAATGAGACTACATTCTTGCTAGTCTGCAATTTTGGTAAGTAGCATGACTCCAGTTGGGAAAAAATGGAAAACAACAATTTCCACAAATTCAAAACTACAGATACAACTCTGCAAGTTTAAACTCAGAGTTAAACAGAATACAATACTGATATGAGGAATAAAGACTGCAATAGCTGGAAATGCTGCCATTGTTCTCTCTCAAACACACACACAAATACACACAGAGAATGCGGTGCCAAATAGGGCAGCTCAAGGAGCTTTCATGTCAGTCTCTCTTGGAATCCTCTCTTCTCCTCTCCCGCCTTTATACACCTCTCTTTCTATCCCTCTCTCATTCTTTCTTCTGTTTTCCTTAGTTTCTCACAGCAGGCAGGAGCACAGGGCAGAATGAACCAGTGTGTAGAGCAAAAATTTGTATTTTTTTCGATTGTCAAAGCTCAAGAAGAAAAGGAAAAAAATGATGCGTCATGATGATAATTGCATTACTTCAAACATGCTACAGATGAAAATATGATACTGTATTTTTGCTGATAAATCTTTTATATGTGTGAAAATACATATGTGTGATGTGTCTTTTATATGTGTGAAAGATATGTCATCATTTACTCCTCATGACTGTATGACATTCTTCTGTGGAACAAAAAAGAATTTTAAAAGATTTTGAAAAATGTTCAAACTCCAAGTTAAAACTGGTTGGTTAACAACATTCTTCAAAATATCTTTTGTATTCCACAGAAGGAAGAAATACATAGAGGTTTGGAACAGAAATATGAGGAACTATCCATTAATTGTTCAAACATTTTTCAAAATGCTTAAAATGTGGTTTAAAGTTTAGTCTGTGACAGTCTGACATTTTCTATAATTTTTCTGTCATTTTGTACTGTTATCATCAATTAAAATGTCAGGAAAAAAAATGAACTAAACAACTGCAAAAATGCAAGTTAGAGAGAAAGAGAGAGAGAGCGAGAGAGAGAGTCTGTGGGAGATGGGAGTGTTTATGTTTGTGGAAGGAGGAATTCAGTTAGTTTGTGGAAACCTGGTGTATGTGGATCTCTTCTAATCTCAATGCTGGTGTCAGATGACAGGCATGTCTTTGATCAGTCTGTTATTAGAGAGGTGTGTATGGACAAGAGGAATTCAGATATTATGCTTTGTGTTCTCACTCTCCCCTCAACCATTCCCCATCTGCATGCACATAACACATAACAAAGGAATACCATTTCATCTATTAATCTCAAATCACAAATATAGTCATCGCACAAACAGAAATGTGTGTTTATGCTGATTAAGACATCTCAAGTGTGTGTAAAGTCTCTCATGAGAACAGAGGCATTAACAAGCTCTTGCCAGCAGAGACATTTACAATGGACCTGTGATGGGAGTTTATTATTGTGTGTTGATGTTTGTGCATGTGTCTGCTGAGCAGACACATGGATAGGACAGCCCTGTCTGGACCGATGCCCATGTTTGTGGATCCAAACAGCCTCTCTCCAGAGACACAGACAGATGCCATGTTAAGAATGGAAAACTAGTGTAGTGCAAAATATATACTGCATAACAGTTTAAAAAAATAAGGAAGAAAAAAAAAAGATTAGTCCGCAATTGTAAAAATACTTTAAATTGTAGTATTCTACATTGTTCTTAGCCAACCATTTGAAAGTTTTGGGTCTATAAGACTTTTTCCTTTTTGTTTTTGAAAGTCTCTTATGCTCAACAAAGCTGCATTTATTTAATCAAAATACTGTAAAACAATTACATTTTGAAATAGTAATACTATATTAATATTTTTAAAAAGTAATTTATTCCTGTGATGGCATGGCAAGGCTGAATTTTTATTACTCCAGTCTTCAGTGTCACATGATCCTTCAGAAATAATTCTAATACAGTGTTTCACCTGCCATTATATTAGGGGGGCTGCCCAAAAAGTTACGCCTTCTTTCTGTGTGTGAATATTTGGGCGGCGTTATGCAAATCTTCCCACATCGTGACGTAGATATGTGGGGGCGTGTTAGAACGAGCCATTTTAGGTAGGCGTGGTTGACTCTTAACTTTTATAAAGAATATCTCTTTGGATTTGAGACTATAGTCTTTGCAACTTTACAGATCTTCTTTATGCACCAAGAGCTTGTAATACTCCAAAGAGAAAGAAAAAATTGAAATCGCATCATATGACCCCTTTAAAGTTACCTTTACGATAGAACAGGTCTATACCTTGTTCTTTTTTAAACAAACTAAAAAGCCTTATGTTATTCATCTTATTTACACGACGGCATGTCATATCGATCTCTACGTTATGGTCGTGCTCTCTGTATCACGCACAGTGCTGATCATTCACTCCCCTCACCTACAATCCCTGCCAGCCCTGAAACTCGAACCCACGATCTTTGGGTTACAAGTCCGACTCTCTAACCATTAGGCCACGACTGCCCCAATCAATGCAATACAAGAGCATAAAAGCTGGTAATCTTCTAGAAGGCAAAAGTCACTTGGCAGGGGGAATTTGTTATATTTGCATTAAAACTGTGTGTACTGCTGAAATAACAGCTAGATCAGGCTCTGAAAAAAACAGCCAGACAAGTAACCTGCTTTTAAACTAAGACATGAAACAAATTAATCCAAATACTGAGCATCGCAGTTCAGCCAAACTACATAATCACTTGTCAAACCACATGAACAACTAAGGGTGAACAGGCACTACGTGACACAAACATATTCTGCCTCAAATCAGTCATTCTTCATTCTTGCGCTCTGAAACTGTAACAGTGTGATTACTGTATTTGAGCACTAGGTGTCAGGCTGCACATACTCAGCAGAACTCACTAGAACAACAAGAGCGTAATAAAAGCACTCACATTTTCAATGACAAAGGTCCACTCTTTGTCTTCAAACTCCTCTGCATGGGGATCCTGAAAAAACAGAATGTGGAAATGAATTAATGCCATACAAACTGAGACGAGGCTCATTAAAGTCTCAGAATAAAGCCTGTTTTTAGTGTCTTTTGTAGCAGAGATACTGGGCAAAAACAACTCCACAGATCAAATCAATCTCCATTTACTGATCAACAATAGGAATCAAAGCAATATCTGCATCCAGACGAAAGAGCTCAAAGTCCACTGATGCTGCAAATCAATTCATACACATATCACATACAGCCTAACACAGCAGTAAACTAACTCACTGCTTTGCTTTTGAGAGGCAAGGGTGTGTGCACTATGTATGTGTCAGTGGAGTTCAATTCATCCCTCACACTAAAGCACAAATACACCTTACAGTACAACATTGACAATACACATCAAGTGAAGACTCACAGATAGACCTACAGGTTTAAAGATAAACGGACTGTTAGAATAGAAGGAAAAAGGTTTCAGGACATCTGAGCATGACTGAGAGCAAGAACACACACAGGAACCAGGACTCGCAATCTTGAATTGGATTACCAGCAGTAAGAGGCTTGACCGCAATCTGACAGGTGTGTGTTTATGCAGGGGTGCTGTGTGTGTCTCATTTTCAGAACATCACTGTCCTCATATAAACCGTTCCAAACATGGTAGAGCAGACAGAAGGATAAACGATCTCCTGCTGCGTGTCTGGATTATTCTAGATTACTATATGTATCAGTTACCCAGGAACAGAGAAATGTCTGTGCCCCCAAAAAGGATTTTCTGTGGAGAATCACCACTGATAGAGCATTTCATCCAATGACTATACTTAAACTGTGTCCGGGAAACTAGCAAGAGAGCATCACAGAAACCATGCACAGATGCTCCATGTGTCTCTACATTTCTAGAACACACACACACTGCCTCCTGCCCTACAGCATCATGCTGTGTTTGACATGGAGCACTGAAGACAATCTGTTTTCAGTCATCTCTCACTCTGAAATAACGAAACACTTTCTCTTTATAATCTCTTCTATATTTCCATTCCTACTTGGACTTGTGCATTTCCTCTAGGCTAGTTGACATGCTCTACTGCAATTCTCTTTTCACATGATCTTATCAAAGTTTTTCATAATGGCTTTATGCTTCCTCATGGATGGGTCACAATGTTTCTTGAAATAACTTTTATTCAGCAAGGCTGCATAAATTGATCAAAAGTGACAGTAAAGACACTTATAAATGTTACAAAATATTTCCATTTCAAATAAATTGTTCTTTTTCATTCTTCCCATTCATCAAAGAGTCATTAAAAATATAATAGGCTATATATGATCAAATAATAAGTATCAATGTATCAACATGTATTAAATCTTAAATTATTAAATCTAACTGAATTTACTGTTTTAATTAAAAAAAACATTTGACATGAGAATTTGACATAAAAGATAGCACATACATTTAACAAGGTATAAAAAAATTACCTTACAAAGATTTTTAAAAAGGTGATTGGAAATCAATTACCGAATGAGAAAGTTAATTGTCACTGGTCAGAAGGTGCTCCTACATTTTTGACTCATTAAAATATATAGGCCTATATATATATATATTTTTTTTTTTTAATATTAATTTATTATACACACAGTGGAGGCCAAAATTATTACTAGTATTAGACACTAGTATTTTGACCAGCTAAAAAATGGTTTTAAGTTATTTCTATCGTTTGCTGTAGCGTGTCAGTCTGTCTGGAAAGACATGAAGAAACAGAACAAACTGAGACAGACTAAATCCAGAAGAACTGTGGCAACGTCTCCAATATGCTTCAAGAGACCTACCTGTAAAACTACCAGAAAAACTATGTGCAAGTGCGCCTAGGGCAAAAGCTTCTTTAAACACAAAGGAAGGTCACATCAAATGTTGATTTTTATTTAGTTAATAGAAGTTAATTGATAAAGAAAATTTATTTATGATATTTTTGACAGCATCCTCAACATCCATTTTACAGCATTTTTACTAGGGCTGCACGATTAATCGCATGCGATATTTAACGCGCATCTTGTCAAGTTAATGCTGCTCAATGTGAAAGCACGCAGGTGATGGAGATTTACCGCTGATTAAAGAACCGGCTTTACTGATAAGATGCGCGTTAAATATCGCTTGCGATTAATCGTGCAGCCCTAATTTTTACACAAGTGCCTAAAACTTTTAACAGTATGTTGCTTTGCCGGTAGGTTTCTTGAAGCATCTTGGAGACATTGCCACAGTTCTTCTGGATATATATATATATATATACTGCTGGTTGACAAAGGTCAATGAGCCAGATACCTGTTCAGTGTTTCTACAGCCAATGCCAGCTGACAAATACAATTATACAATTACTGCACTTCACAATCATTGAAACCATCTGAACCCTAAACACAAGCAGTATATGTTCAACAGAACTACATTACAGTACTGCAATCCCACCAGCATCCTGCCAGAAACAGAAAGAACCACACCTGTAACTCATTTCGTGGTTCATTTCTTATATTTCATATGTGCACTCTGTGTTCCCTAGGGTACAGTTCATTTCTCAGACCCATTACCACACAGATCCTTAAAGTCGGTCAGTTGTTTTAACTCAGATTTGTGGCTGCAGGTCATGCAGCTCTAGATACATTAAGATTTACTTTGCTTGCCAAAGTCTTTTGACTGCGCTTTCAAGGTCCATCTTAACTACTGTTCTCTACAAAAACCCTAATATGAAATTTTTCCATGATTGACATTCTTTGTAAATCTGGCAGGTGTCTGCTGATAGAAACCTGCCAACAACTGAAGTGTGAGTTATGAAGCCAAGACTGTCAAACCCTGCTCTGGGAATTTAAGACGGACAGGCTGCAGGTCTGCATCTTTGTTCACACCCTTTATTACAACAAGAACTGTATAAGACTTCCAAACGTAGCATGCAATACATTCCAAAGAGAAAGGACAAATTGAAATCGCATCATATGACCCCTTTAATAACTTTTGTAAATGTGCAAATCTAATTAAAATAAACAGCTCCTAAGCCAATTAAGGGTGCTTTCACACTTGGTTTGATTGCTTGGTCCGAACAAGAGTTCGATTGTTCCCCCCTCCCCCTGTTGTACTGTGTTCACATTATATTATTTGGGTCCGAACCGCGGTTCGTTTGCATCATCAAGCCAGCAGCTGTTTACCCCGTTGACGATGGCGCAGGAGAAGACGGCAAAATGCGTAGCATTGATCTCTTCAATTTTATATTTATGCTTTGAACCGTTAGTTTGGTTTCCAAAGCTTCAGTACATAATGGCACATACGTCTGCCTTACGAAGGTACTGAAAATGCTCTAAAGAACTCTGAAGGCAAACAGAAATTAGATATACAGCTCTCAGCGCATTAGTCACGCTCGTCAGGAAAGTGAGTGAAACACATTTTCATCAAATAATACGTCATTAATAGCGGTTCACTTCCTTGATTTGGTACCAGAGTACGTGAGCGGAGTGGAGCGGCAACAATTTCCCCTCCGCACTCCAAGCATTCAATAATCACTCCACTCCAGCTCCGCTCCGGGTTCATCATTTCCCGCTCCCGCTCCACTCCTCGCTCCACTGATCAGAAACACCGCTCCGCGGCTATATTATTTCACTATGCTTGAAAAATCAAAGTTCTGTTCAGAAATTATATATAAAAAAAGCATAATACAAGAAGAATAGTTTTAACATGGTTTATTGGAACACTACAATTAGCCCAAGTCCATATTAAATGACTGCTTAACTCGCTTAGCTTACTTGTCTGTGCAACGTCTACTATGGCGAAGCTGAGGGTAGTTACTTCAGAAACGGAAAGAATATGCTGTAACTTTTCCGTTTTTAAGCTGCTAAATCACAGGACAGCGTTGACCAAATTTTCTTCATTCCTGAATGTATGCGCGCGATCTGTACGTTACGTGTGAGCTTGTGTGTTCTGTCCGTGTGCAGCAATGTAGAAGCACATTAGTTTCGATCGGAGATTAACAAACTGTACAACTTACAACATGCTTTAACCTCCCGCACTCGTCCATCGCCATTTTAACCTTCATGTGATCCACATATCTTTCAAGCTAACTAATTATGTTTAATGCATGAGTTGGCATAATTTGTGCTCGTGACGGAGCAGTAGCGGAGCGTTCTCTTCAAAAAAATCTGCTCCTAGCTCCAGACAAAATCACGCCGCTCCACTCCTCGCTCCGCTCCCACTCCGCTCACATACTCCGTTTGGTACATTTGCGTCCACATCAGCAGCGAACTGTACCGGAGTTCACTTGAACCGTACCCCAGACCACCCCTTTTAAGTGGACCCGGGTACGGTTCGCAAGTGCGCACCCGAGTTCGGAAGACCAAACGTACTGAACTCAAACGACCCTGGGTGCACACCAAAAGTGCTAGTGTGAAAGCACCCTAAATGTTTCAGACTTTAAAATATTGATTTAAAAGAATTAGCAGAACTAAAACTTTAGGAAACCCTGATCTAAAATAGGCTTAGTTCTAAAAGGTCTTAACAATTTGGAAACTGGGCTTGTCTGTAGGATTAAAATGGAGCTGAATGTAAATGTAATGTAGATCTACAACATTACCCAAGTATTCTTTCTCCATTACAGAAATGCCATTTACACTTCCGATTACAGCAAAACAAAAGCTGCAGATTTGAGGAGTGCGGACATAAATAAATAAAGAGAAAAGGAGTGACAAAGTGGGTCATCGCACAGCAGGAGATGTTATCAGGAGGAAGTGGAGCAGGGTAGAGAGGGCACACACACAGACTGGCAAACCTAGGAGGAAAATCCTTCACTGGGCACCAGAAACACAGCTGCCCCAACACAAACACTAAAGCTCACACACAGAGAAAACCAGAGTGCACAAGAAAGAGGGCGGCATGTCTTTACACTTGGTATTAACATCACAAGTGTTCCACCAAAACATTCAGCTGGTACATGCATCTCCTGTGACCACTTGTGATCAGATTGAGAGGATCTATTTGATGGCTTCTTTTAGGG